GGTAAGCTCTCAGTGGGCAGGGGCCAGATGAGGGGCTGGTCTGACTGCCCAGGCCTGACATACAGTGGGAACTCAGTGAGTGTGTGCCGATGAGTGGATGGAAGAATGAAGGAACTAATGAATGCAAAGAAATTAGCCAGAGTCCTGTCCCAAGGCCCCACTTGCATACACACAAGCACTAGTAAAGGCATTCCCAAGCTCACACCCAATGTGGCCACCTTACACCTCTTCCAGGAAGGCTCCTGGCCTCCCAGTCCATGGCTGTGCCTCCTCTGACTTCTGCCATCCTCTAAGGGTCGCCAGGTGAGTGAACCCAGTTCGGACTTAGGAGTGACCTGCAGAAGTTAGCATGAGAACCTGGCTGGCGTGAGGAGCAGGGGGCCCCGTGAGCCCCACCTGCCTGGCGTGTGTGCCCACATCCCCTTCCAGAGCACAAGGCCTCACCCAGCCTTGCCCCACTGCAGTGGCTGTGATGGTGGGCAGCGCAGCCCAGCTGAGCACAGCCAGGAGTGTGGGGGAAGGGCCCTAAGCACTCCCCTTCCTCAGCGGCGGAGCCTGCAGGGGTTGGGGGACAGGTGGCCCTCATGTGAAGCGGATGCGTGCAGTGGGACCTGTGGGCCTGGCCTTCACCTGCTGCCTCCCCGGCCACCTGCCTGTGCCTGGGATTCCAGCAGAGCCTAATCAGAGCTCCCCACAAGTTCTTAACCCCTCGCCACCTCATTTTACAGATGAGGAAACTTAGGCCCAGAGGAGGGACAAGGAACCAGCATCTTTGGCATCCCCGACTTGAGGCAGAGCCTTTCCCACCATCCCAGGGCCCCTCCTTCCCACAAGACTAGAGTGTGGCCCTTCCCAGGGCCAGGGGTCAGGGATGGAGGTGAGACCCCCCCACACCCTGTCTGGTTACCTCTGTGGAATTAGGGTGGAAGCTGGAGCACCGGGTGGAGGAACAAAGCCCTCTTAAGCCAACCCTGATGAAACACACTGCTGGCAGTTGCACAAGGGCAGACAGAGACATGATGGTCATCAATACGGAGTGCAAGCACTGCAAACCATGTACCTGAATTCTCTCATCCTAACAGCCATGCTCTCAGGTCTGTGATCCCAATTTCATGAATAAGGAGATGGGGGCACGCAGTCTCACCAGTGAGTGTCAGAGCCAGGATCTGAACCCCAGCATCTCACTCCAGAGCCCACCTGCCTCCTTTGCCATGTTCCTTTCATTCCATTTGCTTTACAAACATTTAATGGGCACCAGCCAAGGGCAGGGCGTCAGCCAGCCTCTGCCTTCAGGGTCATGCTGTTGAGTGGGTGTCATAAACCTAACCCTGGGCTGAGAACTGCTCCAGTGAAGAGAAATGCAGCCACTACAAGCAAGTCTGTCCATGCCCCTGCTCCCTGTTCCCCCATCAACACTCCTGGTGTGGCATTCAAGGCCCTTCAGGGTCTGGCCCTTTACCTCTGCAGCTCCCTCTGTCTCCAGCCTCCTTAGCCCAGCCATCCTGGCCTCGGTTCAGCTATAGGGCAGGAGGGTGCACTGGCTAGAGTATCAGCTCTGGAACCACACTGCCTGCCTTCTAATTCCAGCCCCATGACCCACTAGCTGAGTGGCCTCGGGTACCGGTCCCAGTTTCCTCATCTGCAAGATGAGGATAACAGCATCTACCTCATGCAGATGCTGTGAGAATTAAACGAATTAATCTGTGTGTAGCACATGGAACACAGCTTGCCGCATACCAAGTATTTGTTTAATCTATGGAACTTAACTTTATTCTCCAATCTTGCCATGCACTTAGCTTTGGACTTTGCACATTGTTTCCTTTGTCTGGAAGACTCTTTCTTCCACTTCTTCTCCTCCCTCCATTCCCACTGTTCCCCCCTTTACTATTTAACACCTAGTCTTCCATTAGGCCCAGGTGCCTCTTCCAGGAAGCCCTCCTGGGTTATCACATGTCCCATGATACCTGCACCATCCCTACACTTACACTACACAGTAATTGTCTGATTACTGGATAGTTGCTCCCACTTCTCTGGAAACTGAGTCAAGGACCCTGAACTGTGCGTGTACTCCCAGGACCTAGCACAGCACCTGCTCAGCACACAGCAGGTGCACAACAAATAATTACTGACTGATGACACAGGCAGGAGTGATGAATTCTGAACAGATGGAGTGTGGGGAGCCACCACACATGACGGATGTGGGCCGTTCAGTTGAAGAAGGGATTGGTGGGGTTGGGAGAGGTGGGAGGGTCTTCAAGCAAAGGCAAGGAGCCTTGAAAGGACATATTCCAGGGGTAGCGTGTGGGCTGGCTGGGCTTGGTGGTAACGGCTGCCATCTATTGGGCACTTAGGATATGCCAGACAGCGTCCTAGAGTGCTTCACGTGGATGGGCTCAATCCTTGCAACACCTATGGGAGGCCAGGAGCTCAGCAACATTTTGCTGAGAAGAAAAGTGGCACAGAGAGGAGAAGCAGCTTACAGAGCCAGCTAGTGAAGAGTGGACCAGAACTTGAATTCAGGACTCCCCTAAGCCCCTCAGGAGATACTAACAGTAGCAAGACTGGGCCTCTGCCTCCAGGAGTTGGCAACAAACCCAGAGGCCCTTGCCTGCTCACTCCAAGGTCATGGTAAAGTCTTGGTGCTCACTGTGACCTGCAATGTCCCCGACGTGTCTACCTGCGTAGAAGAATCCAGCCTGCAGAAACCCCTGCCAGCACCCAACATCCTGCCCATGGCATTTCCGTCAGACCACGCGCTTTCTGGGTGAGCTGGGCAACAGGTTCTCTCCTTGTACATGGGGTGTCCTCACCGGTAAGTGCCTCCACCTCACTCTCCCGGCCCTACACGGTTTTAACCACAAGCTTATGAGCAGCCTTGAGAGCTGCTGGCTTAATAGGAGTGGACACCATCCCTGCACGGAGGAGGGGCCTGAACGTGGGAGCCTAAAGTTGCCACCCCATTGTGGTGGGCCATGTGCACTGCCCACCCACCTACTGAGCACAGAGGACTAACTGACCTTCCATAAGGGCAACTGCCACTTCCCAAGCACCTGCTGTGAACAGGCACTGCTGTCCCCGTTCTACCTATGAGGAAGCACAGGGGTATAAGTATCTTGCACCAGGTCACATAGCTACTAAATGGCCCAGGCAGTCTGACACCAGAGTCTCTAGTCTGGGTCACTACGATGTAAGTCATTATTTTAAATTAAGTGAAGTACCTTGACTTCTTTTCCCCAAAGTTCACAGTAACATCATAAAAATCTTTATTTTCCCATTTTCCACATTATAGAAAACTTAAAAAAAAAATCCTCTTCCTAACCCTAAAACAAAGCCGTGTGTGCCCTTGATGCGTAACAATTCTAAAATGCATTCTGGCGTCTAGGTGTAGAAATGGACAGTGGGAACTCTGTGAAGAGGCCTGGCACTCAAGTAGTTAAGGAAATGACAATTTCGAGATTTCTGCAAAGCTCCTTTATTGATAGCCCAGCAGGTGTTTCTTCCATTAAAACACTGAATATTAATGGAGCGCTTGATTTACATCCTAAACTTGATTTACACGACGGTTTTGTTATGCACCAGCCTTTGTCCTCAAGTATTATTTCTGCTAAACATTTCTCAGCCAGTTGCTTCTCCATCTCCCCAAGGAATGAGCAATGATAATACAGCCTGTACCTGTTATTTTGCCAGCAACCCCATTTCATCAATTTATGGCAAGAGGTAACATTGGCAAGTTCAGAAAGGAGAGAAGAAGGTACACGGTTTGAAAATGTCTGTCTTTCCTCTAAGGAGATGGAACCATTCTGCAGGCGTTACTTAATTCTTGCTCGTGGCACCCCCCAGGAAGGTTGTGAAGCAACATATCAAAAAAACAAAACCCAGGTCTCGAGATAATGTTAACAGCAGAACCTGAGCTCCCAATGGGGGTATTTCCTAAGTCATCCCATGTAAAGGAAGCATTTCCTGAGAGCACACTAAGGGTTAAGCTTTTCATATGTCAGCTCAGCCAACCCTTAGACAACCCAGGGAAGTAGGTACCATTATCATGAGCGCATCTTACAGATGAAGAATCTAGGATACACAGATGCACAAAGGACAAGTTGTTTGTCTAAGATAACATCCCTGCTAAGTGGTGGATTTAGGACTGTCTGTTCAAGGTTCTGATCTTTCCACCAAATTATACTGCCCCTGGCTACAGGACACTGGCTAAGTAATCAGGAGACCTGGGTTTCAGTTCAGCTTGACCTTGAGCAAATCACTGTGCTCCTTGTACATGTCTCCCTTGGAAAACAGAGCATGGGTACCTGTTTCAAACCTACAGCACTTCTGTAGCTCAAAGGCTGACTCAGCCAGACATCACTCCCTGCAACAAGATGGACCCAAGGTAGCCTAACTTAGGAGACGTAGCACCTGGCCTGCAATCAGGCGGTTTGCCAGTAAGATGGGTTGTGGCAAGTTAATTCCCACTGCAGGCCTGTCTCCCATCTGTGAAACGAGGGCTGGACAGGCACACTCCAAGTTCTCCCATTCTAAAGGTCCATGATTCTACATCACCCTCAAATCGTTCTGTGTCATACACATTTATGAGCGTTTAAATTAATTGGTTCTCTATTCCCTGAGTCTGATTTTTTTTAATAAGGAGGCAAATGCATATTTATTTATTTATTTTTGGTTGCACCCCACAGCATGTGGGATCTTAGTTCCCTGAGGGACTGAACCCGTGCCCCCTGCAGTGGAAGGGTGGAGTCTTAACCACTGGACCACCAGGGAAGTCTGAATCTGATTTTTAAAAGTGCTTATTCTTGGGCTTCCCTGGTGGCGCAGTGGTTGAGAGTCTGCCTGCTGATGCAGGGGACACGGGTTCGTGCCCCAGTCCGGGAAGATCCCACATGCCACGGAGCGGCTGGGCCTGTGAGCCATGGCCGCTGAGCCTGCGCGTCTGGAGCCTGTGCTCCGCAACGGGAGAGGCAAAAACAGGGAGAGCCCCGAAACCAAAAAAAAAAAAAAAAAAAAAAAAGATTCAGAACAATAAAGCACCCATTTGCACGAATTCTAATTTCTCTACTTCAGGCTAACTTGATCAGACAGACATAAATAATCTTTTACTTATTGGAATCATTTTGCCCAGGCAGAGGCCATGCGGTATAGTGGGACAGACACAGGTGTTGGTCGGTACTCAGATTCTAGCTCTGATACGTAATAGCTGTGCATCCTTGATTAAGTTGCTTAAATGGAGTTTCAGGTTTCCTCATCTGTAAAATGAGGATTTCACAGGACCTACCTCGCACAGTTTTAAGTTCTGAACACGGCATATAAAAGGGCCTCACAGCACAGTGGCACATGCAGGCCCTCAACAAATGACCAGACCAATGAAAGCAGAGAGCTCACATCAATCTGACAACGCACAACCGAAATGACTCAAATACTCCACCTTGCAATGTAGCCTCAGAAGGCACTCCACCGACTTTACGAATTAGAATCATCTGGGGAGTTTTAAAACTGCCAATGCCCAGGCCACACCCCAGAACAGAACCTCGGGGTGGGACACAGGGGATTCCACTGTGCAGCCAAGGGTAAGATTCCTGCCTTACAATCCAGCCTTTCTGGGTTTGCTCTCAGAATCCCTGTCTCCTGGCCTGAATGCTGGCCCAGAGCCCAGGGGTAGGCCTGGGAGTCATTAGGAAACCTGATGGTGTGTGCTGGGGGTGAGGTTACTCTGGCAGGAACAGTGGTCACAAGCTGCAGGGAAGCTGTTTGGCAAGAAGAACAGGCCGAGACAAGAACTTCAGTGCACTAGGAATCAGCCTAGGACTCCAGCCTCAGGGAGCTGACCATCAACAAGAGGCTGGCCGCCATACAGTGAGCTGTGCCCGCCAAGTGAAAAAGAAGGGCGTCGGTGCTGAGCAGGCGAGCATAGGGGGAGCCAAAGACAGAACCACTGCCAGGAGCTGCCGAGCATGTTTCAGGAGGTGGTGGCTTTGAGCTTGGCCCCGAGAGATTCTTGTTAGGTTTGGACAAGCCATGACCCTGGGGGCCGAGGATGGAGAACCTGATTCTGCTCCTGGAAGCAGGAGCAATGAAAGCTCAAGCCAGCTGCCAGTTCTCCCCAGGGCTCAGGCAGAGACCTTAATATTCACCGCTGTCGTGCGTGGCACTAGGATGCAACTCTGCACGCAGGACGAAGTCGCCACGGCACTTGAAGCCTGCTGCCCCTCACACTTGTGGGAAGAAATGGTTTAACACACATTTTCCCAGCCACCCAATTTTCTTTTTTGAGTGGAGAAAGAGTAGAAAAAGGAAAGTTTCCAGGCAGGAAGCTGCTGCACCGTTAACGTGGCAGGTGTTAGCACTGTTTCCAATTAACATGCAAGGCTCGTCCCAATAGTTTGACTTTATTCAATCAATGTAACATGATCTCAGTGCTAAGCCACCTCAAGAGGAAGGGCCAGGTCTCTGGAGGTGGTTTGGGGGCAATTAGCTAATTGTATTTACCTTCTGGGTAGCTTAGACGATGGAGGATCAGAGGAACAGATCAGATCTGATCTGCCTGTCATGAACCTCTCGGGGAACCAGCCAGTCACAGCTGTAAGGACCTTACAGATCTAGTTCCATTTTCTCACATCACAGATGGGGAAACTGAGGCACCAGCAGGGGAGGGGTCGTGTCCAAGTCTCCAGTGAGTCAGTGGCAGTCAGGTGTCCTGATTCTTCTCCCCAGACCATCAGGCCAACTTCTCAATGGAGGAAGACAGGCGGGCTGCCTCTCTGGACCGAATGCAGCAAGAGGCCCGTGGTTGGACTGCTGGAGCTGGAAGGGCCTCGGCCACTGGGGAGGCCCCATCCTACACATGGGAAACTCCACTGAGAGAAGGGAAGTGACTCTCCTGAGGGCCAAGATGACAACTTGGCTCCTCCTAGCCACTACCTCCGAATATAAAAGGAATGATATGTGGCAGCAGGGCCAGCCAAAGGGATCAAGATAATGACTTTAAATACAAATAGTCCAAACAGATGACTGGATAACAACTGGTTTTCCTAACATGGTCTCACCTTCCATGAGCTGCCCTCTTTCTGGGGAGACCAGCTCTGGAAAGCAGTATAAGAAAGGCAGCATTAGAATGAACACTGAGACTGTGAGATGCAGTGGGAGGGGTCCAGGGGGCGTTTAGACAACCTGCACTTGGCTCAGTAATTCCAGGACTCCCTCTCTGGTGAGGAAGACCACCTCTCCGGTGTTCTGGCACCAAACCTCAAAATGTGCAGGGTCGTCCAGGGCCCTCTTGCCCACGATGATCACAAAGGGGTAGCCGAACTTGTTGGCGTCTTTCAGTCTGTTTCCAATGGTCAGATGGGTCCTGTCATCCAGCAGGACCTCCCCTCGGAGCTGCGGCACTGCCTCTGTGATGTGGTCATACAGGTGCCCCGTGAGCTCTGAGGCCGCCTCCTCCTTACTGCCCTTCTTGGGGGAAATGAGGCAGACTTGGTAAGGGGCCAGGAGGCCGGGCCAGCGGATGCAGTCTTCTGTAGCGAGAGCTTCAATGACAGCGGCCAAGATCCGTGTCACACCCAAGCCATAGCACCCCATTTCAGCCAGGGATGGCTTGCCATGGACATTGGTGAACTGGGCACTGAAAATGGAGGAGTACTTGGTGCCCAGGTAAAACGTGTGCCCAACCTCGATGCCTTTGGTTTTGGTCAGTGGCCCCTGGCAAGCAGGGCAGTTTGTTGGTGACAAGTCCAGAGTCTCCATGTTGGCCGAAAAGCCACAGCTGGAACAGACTGCAAGCCGGTCCTCTCCGACGTCCACCGGCAGCTGGAACTCGTGAGACATCGTGCCCCCGATGCTGCCCACGTCTGCCTGGACCTTGACGCACTGCAGCCCCAGCCTGTCAAACAGGCTGCTGTAGGCATCACACACCAGGCTGTAGGTCTGCTGGGCAGCCTCAGGGGAGGAGTCGAAGGTGTACATGTCCTTCATGTAGAACTCTCGGCCTCGGAGAAGACCAAAGCGGGGCCTGGGCTCATCCCGAAACTTCCTCGTCACCTGGTACAGCAGGAGCGGGAGCTGCTTGTAGGACAGTGTCTGCTGGGAGGCAATCAGGGCTGTAATGGCTTCCTCGTGAGTTGGTCCTAAGCAGTACTCCTTGCCGTGTCTGTCTCTAAGTTTTAGCAGCTCCTTGCCCATCGAGTCCCACCGGCTGGTGGCTCGCCAGAGCTCTGCTGGGCTGAGGCTGGGCATGTTGACCTTCTGTCCCCCGATGGCCTGCATCTCCTGGTCTATCACCCGCACGAGCTTCTCCATGGCACGGACAGTATAAGGCAGGAGGTGGTAACAGCCGGAGCTTGCTGGGTGAATCAGGCCCACCTGCAGCATCAGCCGCTGGCTCTTACAGGTCAGCTCGCCAGATCTGCCCTCTAGAGAGAGCACCTGGTCTTCCCGAAGGTTCTGGGGCTGGAACATGCGGGACAGCACCAAGCGCTTCCCTCTCCCTGGGGCACGGTGGTGAAACCTGTGAGGAACGTACCCCGAGAGCTGGTGACTGCAGGTGGCCAAGGCAGGCAGCGCTCTGCATCTTGTCAGCAGCCCTTCCATCACAGCCCAGCGTAAGGAGGCACCTGCGCCTGAAGAAAAACGAGCCGAGCAGAAATAGGTGTCAACTGTGATCCAACACCCTGCAGTAGTCAACGCAGGCTGCTCTCCAACAAACTTCTACAACCACCACCGATCTTGTGGATGCAAATCCTTTCTTTTCTAATATCCTTGCAGATCAAAGTACTATTGTACTTCTCTCACCATTTACTGCCGTTTAAAAAAAAAAATCAATATTTTCCTGTTTACGGGACTTCCCTCGTGGCGCAGTGGTTAAGGATCCGCCTGCCAATACAGGAGACACAGGTTCGAGCCCAGGTCTGGGAAGACCCCACATGCCGCAGAGCAACTAAGCCCATGTGCCACAACTACTGAGCCCATGCTCTAGAGCCCATGAGCCACAACTACTGAAGCCCATGCGCTCTAGGGCCTGTGTGCCGCAACTACTGAGCCCACGTGTTGCAACTACTGAAGCCCGTGCGCCTAGAGCCCGTGCTCCACAACAAGAGAAGCCATCACAATGAGAGGCCAGTGCACCACAACGAATACTAGCCCTCGCTCGTCGCAACTAGAGAAAGCCCGCGTGCAGCAACGAAGACCCAACGCAGCCAAAAATTAAAAAAATAAATTAAAATTTAAAAATATAGATATATTGGGGCTTCCCTGGTGGCACAGTGGTTGAGAGTCCGCCTGCCGATGCAGGGGACACGGGTTCATGCCCCGGTCCGGGAGGATCCCACATGCCACGGAGTGGCT